ATTTATTTGTGTTTAATAATTCAAACGATTTGATATAATATAAAATCTTGCCTTTAATGTTTAAGCCTATAGAAGTTTAACCGAGAACTGCTGTTGATTATATAGATGATTCATTATTTCTATATCAGATATATATGCTTGTCACGTGATTACCCGGTACGTGCAAAGTCACGTGAATTGGTACGTGTCCGTAGACCGTCCGGAAAAATATCTCGACAATCACCTGACCAAATTCGATGAAAAATTTTAATTTAGTTGCCAAGATATCTTCGAAAAAAAATTTGGCCAACTTATTTTGATAAACATTTTGTTTTAAAACTTTAAACGAAGATATCTTAGCAACGACTAAGTCAAATTCGATGAAATTTATTATTTTAAATATCTGGTATCGTAAAAAATTTTTATTTTAAATATCTGGTATTGTAGAATTTGGATTAAAAAAATTTCATCGAATTTGGTCAGGTGGTGCAACATTTTTGATAAAGTTCTTGGTTTTTTTTTAAAAAATTCTGAAATTGAGAATTCGAATAAAAAAAAATTATTGAATTTGATCGGGTGGTTGTTGAAATATATTCGTTAGAAGATTTAGCTTCAATTTTGAAGACGTTATGAGTTGTTTACTAACTTTGATTATTTGAATTCTGAAAGTTCTGTAGAAATTCTAAAAAAATTTTCATCAAATTTTATCATGTGCTTTTCGAATACCAGTTCAAAATTGGGTTATTTACAGGGGGTATGAATACGTAGTAAATTTTTGAAGCTTTGAGCATGTATGGATCATCATCGAACATTATGGGTAAATACGATAGATGCACTCGGTTAACTCCAGGGATCTCTTGCGTATCTTCCCCAGCATGAAAGACCTTATTGGTTTATAAATAGGGTAGTTCCCTACTATATTAATAGAATTTTCAAATTATACATGATCCAATTTTTCTTTGTGACAAACCACTACGTATACGTAATAACGATAAAGTCAAAAAAATTTTTTTTTAGTTTCGTTAGATCAGAAGTTTTTTTAGATTATTACTAGCACGATTTGCACCACTCATCTTGCTTAGGCAGGTCCATAAATACTATAATATATTGTATAGTTGCAAACATTTAGAGGGTCAAAGGTAGTTATTTTTATACGTCACCCTTTACGTCATATAAAATTTTCGGTGCCGCTCACTTCGCCGACAGTCATTTCACCGAAAGTTCATTTAGCCGACATCACATGGGGTTAGGGTTAGGGTTTTATTAGTTTCAGGCATATATTTTTAGTAAATTGTCACTTGAAGTGATGTCGGCTAAATGATACGGATCCATTTAATACGTCATATTAAATACGTCACGTCAATATGTCATATGTAGTAAATGTTAATTGAATATATTGTAAATCGAAAAAGTATCTCTTACACCTGATCTTGAGATCTGATCTTGAGATCTGATTGGCTAATAATCCTGTTTTTGTGGTACTTCTTTAGGGTTATGCATTGAGAGCTTTGACGTTTGAGATCTTAAATATCATTTTTTTTTTTTTTTGAAACATCAAGTGATATCATAAAAATTCTATGAAAAAATATTTTTATTTATTGAATTTGGGTTGATTATTGTAAAATCGCTAGTTCTATTTTAGATACTATTAGACTTACACATACGGGTAATTATTTTTGAAACCAGATCAATTTTGTAATTTTACAAAGTACATAATAATTTGGTCTGATTTCAAAAATTTACACATACAGAGAAAAAAGGGGTTTGATGCGGGACAATGAAACAAATACAGTTATAAAATATGTAATAATTATCGTTTAAAATCTAATTTTCTTTTCTAATATCAGAGAAACCTTTGTATCGTTATTTTGTTTTAAGTGAACTACATTTGGTGATTTATTTTAAGATTTTCATAGATGGTTTGAATTTTGATACTTTTTCGATTGCTTGTAAACCGAATTGGTAATATCATATTAATTAAGATCAAAAACCTATAAAAAAATTTTGTTTCTCTAAAAACAGGTAAAATGAACAGCCTATCTATTATTGTCTATTATTTTCGTTATCGATGCATCACGCCAATTTTCTAAAATCTGGATATTTTTTCAATAGGGATTTTTAATTTATCTGTATGCGAAATGTGGGGATATTTTTTTGGGGGAAATGAATGAAAACATATATCGGATGCCTGATATAAAAATATCGCAAAAACGTAACTATCGACGCAAATTTTGAAAAAAGTTACATAAGACCCAATTGTTTGCATGACATTTTCTTTCAAATTTTTGTTAAACCGCGTTTATTAAAAAGGTAATACTTAGTCTTTTACTTGACTCTTTACAAAAGTTACTGTTTATAAAATGACTGATTTTTAAAAAATCTCAAATTGAAAATTTGAAGACAACTGAATACCGTTACATAAAAGTTTTATCTTTGCTCGAAATTAAATAATTTAAACGTCAAGGTAAGGCATTTGCTTGACTTTTAATGTCATTTTTTTCTACTCATCTATGTTTACATACTAATTAAATTTTAAAAATGCCATGAACAGATGTCTTTTCTTGCTCAGATCGGTAAGAAGTGTTTACTATGTACATTTTTTTTTGAAGAGTTATAACTAGGGATCTGCAAACCCTGCATGTGCCTATGCCAAACAAAAAATTTCAAGGCACCGGCATGGGCATTGGCATAGGCACAAAGTGCCTGGCTTAAAAGTGCCCGGCACTTTTGTGCCTACGGGCACTTTGTGCCTAACTTAAAAGTATCAAACACTTATAAAAATAGGTGTCAGGCACAAGCCAGGCACAAAATGCCCATGCCACAAAAAATGCCTGGCACTTTAAGCCCATGGGCATAGGCACTGCCCAGGCACTAATGCCAGGCATAGTGCCCAATGTGCCCGGCATGGGCATTTGCAGAACCCTGGTTATAACTCTATTTGCTAATTTTTTTTTTAGATGAGAAAACTTCTTCCTATTTTCTAGACACACCATATACATCATGGTCATATGATAACTTTCTTGAAGCTATGAAAAGTGTAATCATGGAAGATAATGATATTGAACTTTCTGCTTCTTGGTGAAAATGGTATTTAAATATGCTTAAAATAATCAAGGATAGAGAAGATGATGAAACAGTTCTTCAAATTGTAACATTGTTATCTAGTCAGGTAATGCATCTTTTCTAGTCTTTTTTAGTAGTTTGCGCAGCTCAGAGGGGTGCCGTTCCTCCTTGGATTTCTGAGGTCATACAATTAAAAAATTTAAAAAGATTTTAAACTAAAATAGATACTAATCAACTTTTTTGCCAAATTAATTCAAGAAACAAACAATGGCTACAATAAGATTCTGGAAAAAATTGTTGTCAGAGAAAAGTCAAACAAGTGCACAGATTCGAGTTATTTGAAACAGTTGTTCTTGCAAAATATTTTGTTAAACTCCCCACATTATAATTCGTTTTTAAGGTCAACTCTCAGGCATTAGATGTGTTAGATATCGAACGAACACAATTAAATGACACAGAAAATGAGATATCTGTATAAGAACAAATTGAGAATATTTTTGAGGTAATTAGTTATATATTTATTGTACGTAATTATGATAATAATACTTTAATTACAAAGATTTATTTATTTCTAGGTGAATAATCCTAAACCATAAAATTATCGATTTCTGAAAAAAGAGAGATAATGTTATTCTGTAATGTACAGTTTATTTACTTTTATTGTTTTACAGGAAGAATTCATTATGGATATCCTTAGAAATGATATGGAATGTTCTGAGTTCATAACTACAATTTGTCTTGAGTACGCCAAAACTCATTTGACTATTGACATAGTAGATCTGCGACCCAAATCTAAATTTTTTAAACAACTCTTCTCTTAAAACTGGCGAAGATTACTAATAAGAAATGGAAGTCAGAACAGATAAATTAATTCCAGAAAATGTTTATAGTTTTCTTATTGGATTTTTTTCTTAAGAATTGTCGGAAGTGAAATGGCAAAACAAAGTTGATGATTTGTATTGTTCAAATTAAAATGATAAATTAATGGTTGCAGTAATGAGAATCATTAGAAGAACATTACTACAATTGTAAGTATAATTGTAATAACTGTTTTAGTTCAAAAAAAATTATATCCAAAATTTTCTATATTTATTTTTGTAGTATAAAAGCGTTTGTCCTTAGGGCATTTAACACACTGTTAGATATTACGACAATTGAAAGACTCTATTTGAATGCTTATGTACACCTATGTTTAGAAGCTACTCTAGTTCAAATAATTCTAATTCAAGTTGAGGTATAGCATATTGGTAGCAGTAAAAAACTTAGTAATAGCTATAATATGAGGATTTCTGTTCTTCGATAGCTTGTCTATTGTATCTATAGATTAAACTAAGATTTTATTGTTTGAGCTCTTTTATAGAGTAGTCTACTTTAAAGTATCCTAGTTTATAGTATTCTCAGTAATAGTTTTAAGAGTATTACTATGAGTATAATCACTTTAATTATAAGTTTTGCAAATTTTTCTTTTAGGTGTTTGGTCAGAGTAAAAGGCAGCAATATATCTTTTCTGATTATATTAGCAACAAATATTTTTAGAGCAACCTTTAAAGAGATGATCTGTTTGTCTACAAACTTAACAAGGTTTATAGGTACAAAAGTATCTACATAGTGTTGGATTTGCTATTTTTAGTTGTTATCAATTTCAGAGGTTTTCTTAACTTCAAAAGAGTAAAACTCTTGTAGTATCAAATATTCTTGATTATAAATCTCTAAATCTTTAGAGTTAGTAATAGTTAGTTGTTTAAGCAAGGGGTAGTCTGATTTATAAATAGTAATAGTAGAGTATTTTTTGTTATTTTATTTAAATAAGTAATATCTATTAGCCTAATCATAGTTAGCCTTAATCTTTTTAAATAGATTATTTCCAAGTAGTAGAGAGTAAAAGGTAGCAAGTACTATTTCAACTATAATAGGTATATGAGTATTTTCAATTTCTATAAGAAAGTCTCTAATAATTTCAAGAGGTTAGATAAAGGTTCTAATAGCAAATATAATAAGACTAGTAAAAACAAATTCTATTTTTAATTCTAGCTCTTTTACAACATTATAAGCAATTATACTCATAGTACTATTGATAATTGCTTGATAAAGTTGGTTTTTAATTTGTATATTATACTTAAAAGAAGTAGCATATTAAGGTAATAAATTTTTATCTTTAGCTTCTTTATACAAATATGCAAAAAGAGTATTCTGAATAGAAGTATTAGCAAGGAAGAATTCTTATTAGTCTTGAGTTCTTGATTATTTTCTTTGTTATTGTTTAAGTAATTAATATTTTTAGAGTAAGGAGATAAGACTCTTTGATATTTATTCTTTCTATCAGATTAGTAAAAGTCTCATAAATAACTTCGACTTTAGTTATCTTTATTTTAGCTATTATAACTTCTTTCTTGACTTTGTGATTAGTTATTTCTTTTTTATTGATTATCAGATCTTCAGTAAAAAGGTTTAGAGGTTTTTTTTAAATTGTTATTAGAATTATATCTTTGGTTGTTGTTATGATTATATCTTTAATTTCTATTTTCTTTTTATTAATCATTCCTTTTAGTTTAACATTATGCAATAAAGTATTCATTTTTACTATAGTAATAGCAAGTAGCTTATAGTCTAGAAAGTTTAGAGAATTCAATATAGTTGGTCTCTTTAATAGAAGATTGTTTTTGTACAAGATTAATGTTTAGTTAAGTAATTTGTTCAGTCAAAGTTTTGATAGCTTAGTCATTTTTAGTATTTTTATTTGATACTATTATATGTTCAGTTTTTTATTTTTTAGTACTAGTTATAGCAATATATAAGTTAGCAGGCTTTGTTACTTGTATATTAATAGAATATTCAGAATAAAGTTCTTAGATAAAGAGTTAGATAATAAAAGTAGCAAAAAGATATTTTCTTAATCTATTTTCTTTTTCAATTCTCTAAATCTATTAATATAGATATTAATAGTTTTATTTTCTTATTTAATCTCAAAGAATTGTTTTTGCTAAGAGGCTTTCTGTAAAAATATAGAATCTAGCTCTGAAAAAATATTTAAAGCTTCAATTTTTATGAGTATAATTATCAAAAGTATTAGAAACAGAGTTTAGAGCAGTATACTAATCAAAAACAACTTTTTTAAGAAAAATAAGAGCAAGTTCAAGTTTTTTCTTAATATTTTATTTATTTGCTATAGTAGCTCTTTTAAATTCTTTAAACTATTCTTTTAGGTCTTGAGTTTTATTTTCTCAGAAGTATTTAATCTTAATAAGGCTCTTCTCAGATCTTTGTCTTAAGATATTAGCAAGGTTAGTTATTGCTATAGCAGTAGTATTTAAAGTAATATTAGCTATTATAGATTGTTGTTATAGAGGAGATAAAAGATTTATAGATAGTAGTAGATTAAAAAATAGAAGAGATGTTGCAAGGTTTTTAAATATTAAAAGTATATTAACTAATGTTTAGAGACTTCTTAGTTCAGAGTATATTTGAGCTATAAAAAAGTTTTGCCAATAAAAATAGTATTCTGATTTAAGATAATAATCATATTAATTATAGTAAATAGGATCAATAATAGGTATATTATAGATAGTATATCAAGCAAAGATTTGACTTATAATTTCTCTAAGATTATAGTTGTTATTTTGATAAATGTAGCTAAATATAATATCTTGACAAATTGTTCTAGCAGTAGTAGTATTGTATATTTGGTCTAGATTACAGAATAAGTTTTGAACTTTTCTATTATAAGTTGAAGTATTATAAGTTTATTAGTACTAGTTCTAAAATCTTTTAAAAAGTTAGTATTGTCACGCTTATAATTTTTCTATTTCTTTATTTTTCTTTTATTTTATTTTTAGTTTTATTATTTGATTTAGTATTTTTATAATATATTTGTT